ATTTCGGAGGTTAGTCCTCCGAAATGCAACTAACATCATAACTTAACAAGTCGTTCTCAGCTTGACCTTGTAGCTCATTGATTATTGCAATAATATTGATTATTGCACTAAAAACTACAATGCAACGGAAAAGACCAAAGAAATCCGGAATGAATATCAAATTTTTGTTTTCAAAATTCGATACTTTACTGCAGGGGCGGGCCGCTTGCCCAAACCTGGATTAGCGCTAACCCTGGGTTGAAATTTAACCCACTGTTTTTGTATCTGCGAAGCAGATATATATATGCGATCGCAAACGTGATGTTACCGTATGTTAGCACATAGCCATTCAGCGACGAGCTTATATAATTCAGCCAATTCATGATAATTTAAGCCAATCAGCGATTAGTTTACATCGTCTGTTTACATCGTGCCCGCTGATCTAACCTGCGAACAGGCATACTTTAGCCTCGTCAGGCCTCGTGTATAAATCGTGTTTTATATTCTTTCAAAAATATCTTGATATTCAGTATCAATTTATCTTGAATTGGCTGTCTTATTTTCTGACTTTTTTCGCCATTCTACTTTCGATATTATTCCGAAGTTATTTATCAACACGGAATCTTATCCCCATCTGGTAAGTAGTCAAATACCACATATTATATATTTAAATACCAAATTTGTGCAAATATATGTCCCACATATTTTATAAGTTTTATAATACATGAGTTCGCCAGTTCGGCAAATATTTACTATGCTATCTATAGTTAATATTGGCGTATCTTCGGCGTAGAGTTTACATGGAATGCACTCTGGAATTTTTTTATTAATATACACTGTTAAAATATTGGATATTTTCGAGGATATTTTAAGCCATTAATTGTCAACATAGTTCACAAAAAGATTTATACAGTATTAAAAACAATCCTTCTGTGACTTCTGTAATATTTTAAACAGTGAAAACATTCTCAGGAGATATTGAATTAAATCCTGGTCCTGTATTTCTGTATATCGACTCCATAACTCTGTTCAAAACAACAGTCCAACTATAAAGCTGTCATCAAATGTAGTGTTAGAGCAAAGGTTGAAGACGTTATCAGTTAAAATACTTATACATTTTGGTTTTACACATTAGAGTTACTTAAACAAAATTTTTACAAACATTTTCAAATAAAAGAATCCTCACCCTCCCGAGCCTCATTACATTGTCATTTTGCTTTCTAACATAAATATTTTTCTTTAGAGATTAATACAAGAATGAAGAATAATAATGGCTGGATAATTTTGTCAGAACAACCAACTTGCAAGACAATCTTACCTAAATTCATTAGTATGGAAAATAACTTAACAGCTACAATGAGTAATCATATATTATATGGTGGATTTGATCATTGGCACACAATGTACAAAACTAAACTTGTGATACCTTCTACTCAAACCGATAATCTCCCACAACACGATTGTTTTTGTGTGAATGTGCTGTACGTGTTAAACCGAACAGTGTGGTACATCATTAACTGTGCACAGAACTGGAATTTAATTATATACTTCACTCATGACCTTGAAAACATTCTCAATTATTCAGTGGTCTTCGACATGTTCACCAAATATATTGTGTATGTTACTCAACAGTTAACATTGGCAAGTGTAACAACAAGTGACATAACTTTTGCTTCATATGATTACAATAAAGTTTTGAAAATTTGATGAGTATGGATTGAATTGACAGGTGACAGTTTACTAAATAGCCGGCTGTACAGACACTTTAAATATTGTTTGCATGAAATTTTTATTTCCTGACTGCATAATTATCTGTTACAATCATAATCACATTATAAAGTTAGTTAAATTTTCTCGGTGCGGGGGTGGGGGTAGCACTTGCCCTGCTGCACTCCCCGCTGTGTACAGCCCTGTTTTAAATCTTATCTGCCATAATAATAAGTGATGAAATATTTCAATTGTCCCATGTCATCTTCATTATTCAGTTTCTTTCAAGAAAATGCAAAATGTGAATCAAGTTTTTTCGCAGATACATGTACGCGTCGCGTACCTATTTTTAATCTTGCTAGTCCTAGAGTATTTGCAACGGCTGACTTAACTATTCTACGAGATGCCAACGGGGCAGGGAAGCGTTTCTTGTACGAAGAAACATTAGAGTTTGCTGTGTCAACTACTTTTTCGAATTCACTAGAGTCCTTGTCGGAGCCATTACATCGTGACAGAGACGGAATTTGCATACACTTTTGTCAACAGTATAAGTCGGTTTAAATTGTTTCATATAGATCATGTGAAAGTATTATATACTTTTCTGCAATAAACGTCCGGTCGATACTAAGTAAATTTGTCTATGTCACCAATTATTAAAACAATATTCATCGCTAAACATAGTGTTTATAAATAACCCTTTACTAAGTGATACACACGAGCCTTCCACAATCGGAGCTGGCTGTAGACGTCACGACACGAACTGTTGTACAAATAGTGAATCCTTATATTTTGCAACAATTGCCGAGCATGCGTACATCGCCAATGCATCAATATTCGATTTCCCCAGAGCTACCCAACCCTAACCGGTGAACGCGCATGCTCTGGGAACGAGATTGCATTGCAAGTCGTTGCATTGCGAATTGTCGCGAATTGTTGCACTAAGCCGTTAGCTATGCCCAACACCAACCTGCAAACGGGCATGCTATGGGAACGAGATTGCTTTTGCAATGTGAATAGACCTTATGCATAATGACGTCACAAGGCTTGATTCCCGCGAGGAATGCTGGTATTAGTAGTCATCGCCCGGAAAAATTAAACAATTCAAAATGGCCACTATGGAAATTTTCCCGGGCGATGACTACTGAGACCAGCATTCCTCGCGGGCATCAAGCCTTGTGACGTCATTATGCATAAGGTCTATTGTCGGTAAAAACAGACCAATTTAATTTGGTATGCAAATTGCCATTCAATGTTTATCTACACTCTTGAGACATGTGATTTTTGGTTTCGTTGTCATAATAATGATTCTTTCGTATCATAACAACATTTAAGGAAAAGAACCCATCTCTGAAAAGTATAAATAGACAGTGAAATATGGGCAATTTCCAAACCAAGCTAAGTTGGTCCTATGAAAAAGGAACATTGTGAACATTTTTGTTTCGCTTTCGCATTCAAACGGGGCCTATACTCGAAAATCAAGATCTTCGACTTGCATGACGCGTATTTAAGAGCCTTTGTGTAGGTATGTCATACACATACTCCCATCTCTGCAGTCAGACAAATTTTTCCTCGGCCTAGGAGTCAGACAAATTCAAGTACTTTAAACGAATTATGTTTCTGGAGGAAGTATTTGGTAGTTGTGCGGCCCTTTTCTCCAGTTTAATCATTCAAACACCGCCGATATCCCGAGAAAATCTGCAAAGGGAATATGCGTTGATATCCGTGCCAAATCCTGAACAAGACGAAGTATACGATGGCTTAATACACCGTGAGTACGAACAAGAGGCACTGACCGAGGTGCCTTATTATGAAGATGGAACGTTTGTTTCCATGCAAGCTGACACAAGGCGAAATTCCTTCGAATCATTTATCCGAAGTTTGAAGGCAAATATCGGATTAATAACGGCGGTTGTTGTCATATTAGGTTCGCTTACAGTTGGAGTCGTCTACGTGGACTTGAATTCAAATGACGCATGTATAGAATGGATGCACAAAAATCTTAGTGTTCCAGCGCACGTACAGATATTATGGATTGTTGGAATGTCTGTCAATTACTGCCGTTGTTTTCATGGTTTCCGGCGTGCATCGCCTTGTTGTGGGGTTTCAGAGAGTTCAAAAAGAACTACCTTGCGTGTTTATTTTTCTGCGCGTTTGTACCACGATCCATAACCTGTGTTTATAGAATTATTATGCTGGATAAGTTTACAAAAGTCGCTTACAACCCTTAAAAAACTCATTAATAATTCATGAAGAAAACACAAAGAAAAATCATAAGCGTGATATCTGTATATATGTGATACAGATTCATGTTGATTTACATAAACTTTAACTTTGATTTTCTCGGCTTACACAACGTTTATCTTTAAAATTACTTCGCCAATGAACTCATAAGATGAGTCGTTTTTTAAGCCATTTACAACATTCGCGTCCGTGTTGTATCGGATATACAAACTCTCGAATTCGACTCGAGTTTATATATCCAATACAACACGGCCGCTCATGTTGTAAATAGTACATACAGGTTAGTATAAGTAAACTGGTTTATATAATAGTATATAAACACTAGTTTGTAAATATTCTATAAAATGTTTGTCGAATTTTACGACAGCCACTTGGAATTTGAAAGAGATAAAAATCTCTACGTTTCGAGAAGAGTTTGGTGTGTATACATGCATAGACGAGAGGAATGGATTGGAAACGTAATTTGGCAACGTATGCATGCTATTTGGCAACGTATGCATGCACAGCAATGAAATTAATAATCTTTTCCTAGTAGATTTGTCACTGAGGAATCAGCCTTTCATATATCTTGTAAGAGAAGAAACATTTGCTTCTGTCGACAATACGCATATTTCATGACAGTATCATAAATCTGTTATGCGAGAATGAGACCACCGAAACGACAATTAAGCAATTTAACATACGGAATCACGAGTTATGCGATTACAGGGAACTGACTAGCATTTATTGAAAATTATCAAACAGGATTGTAAAAAGCTACAACTTATGTTTTCGTTTCGTAGACATAATTATTTCAAAATTATTTCATTTAAAAAGCGTAAAATAGTACTAATTCCTTAATTATTATTATTTAACAAATACTTTTAACAGAGTTATATATAGTCAATATCACAGACGCTGCGAATGACGACGGTTTAGGAGACTACAGTTGAAAACTTTTGACGAAGACGTCAACAAGTTTTTTTCTCTTTCGCAAGCGAATGGCTGTCGTGAAATTCAAATTCATGAATGAGAAATCATAAGCAAACTAATTATGACCTCACAAATAGACACACTGACCTAGCCCTTCCAGAGCAAAGAAGAGAATTTCAGCCAATAATTGTTCAAGTATACAGCGGGCTAAACTCACATTGATTCATTAATTGCTAGGGAGAGGGCAGTGCATGGGCACTTTGGGAAGTGGCGTTACTGTTTGTGACAATTTTTTTTTTTTTTACAGATTACTAGCCAATTTTCTGTTCATGTCTTCTATTGGCTGTGGTGCTTCCCTAGTTGCTCGTAAATTCAAGAAAGTCAACCCGGCAACATCGTACAGTATGTTCCGTATTTTTTCATTCTTTCGTTCGTTTTCCTAAGTTCCAGCTGAATTGCCTATATCTACACGTTTATTATCATCAATTATTTTAGAGAAACTGAAGGCAAAATAAAGAAAGCCGTAATCGCCGCACTCACGCCCGCGATAACCTTCCCAGTGACTGCATTTGCAAAACACCTTCTTCTCAGAACGAGTTCGTAGATTATAACAATAGGATAGTTTCTACAGTGTCACTTTTTTTAGACACCCTGAGGATCATGGGTCTCGACCAATGAAAGAGCTTGAATTCTTAACGTTATTGTATAAATGGTTCTCTTATATAGTATCCTGCCATCAAAAATAAGTGAAAATTGTTAAATGCAAAGTCATTTGTCTGCAGACTCATTCAGACATTGAAATTACAGGAAGGCAAGTCTGGGCAGAGGGGCAAATACCCCAAAATGTACAAAATGACACAGAAAAGTTGGGTAAAACGATCATAATTATCAACACTTTTGATAAATAAAGTACACTTCCTTGTACACTGTCCGATGACTGTAAGACCACCGAAATGGCAGGGAATCCAGAACAATGCACAGTGTTTATGCCTCCCCCACTACCACCGAACATCACATAGGATTGGAGTATAAAAGCACATTTCCGGGTATGCTTTGCGATAGCTGGAATTGACGCAAGAATGAGCGTTATCGGTAAGGTATATCGAGTTATATTCATGCAAATTGTGAAGTTTACAATTACGTTGACCTTGCGTTGAAAGCAATTACGCAAAACACAACTACAAGAACAATTTTCGTTCGAATATATTATACCAAACGTTAAACCAATAAGAACTCGCTATTCTACGGTTGCCAACGAATAGAGTAGCGGCAGCCAATAGGGAACACTGATTTTAACGATTGTTTCGTTTCTTAGTGAGCTGTTCGTTCATTTACGTCCATCGGTGCATGTTAACTAATTACACTTTTTTATTGCATGAAAAATGCGATATTTTGAGTTGGTTTCATGATATATACAGCAGTGCACTGTTTCGATCTCTCAAAAGTGTGAATAAACATTTAATACTAAGTAAAGCTGGCCTTTTGATAAAGGTCTATTGTGAAAAGTTTTGTCCGCTTTCACATTCATATAGGGCCTATACGCAAAAAATGAATAAGATCATGCAATAAATGAATAAATTCGATTAGCATGGCTGGCCCGCATAAAAGAACGTTTGTTAATAAGTATGTTATTCACATACTGTGTCTGTACGAGTCAAACAAATTTTTCCTATAGCAGTCCGACAGATTCAAGTACTTTAAACGGATTATGTTTCTGGAAGAACTTTTTGGTAGTTGTGTGGCCCTTTTCTCGAGTTTGATCATTCAAACACCGCCGATATCCCGAGAAAATCTGCAAAGGGAATACACGTTGATATCCGTGCAAAATCCTGAACAAGACGAAGTATATGATGGCTTAATACACCGTGAGTATGAACAAGAGGCACCGACAGAGGTGCCTTATTATGAGGATGGAACGTTTGTTTTGATGCAAGCTGACACAAAACGAAATTTCTTGGAATCATTAATCCGAAGTTTGAAGGCAAATGTCGGATTAATAACGGCGGTTGTTGTCGTATTAGGTTCGCTCACAGTTGGAGTCGTCTACGTGGAGTTGAATTCAAATGACGCTTGTGTACAATGGATGCATAAAAATCTTACTATTCCAGCGAACGTACAGACATTACGGATTGTTGGAATGTCTGTCCGATTACTGCCGTTGTTTTCATGGTTTCCAGCATGCATCACCTTGTTGTGGGGTTTCAGAGAGTTTAAAAAGAATTACCTTGTGTGTTTATTTTTCTGCGCGTTTGTACCAGGATCCATAACTTGTGTTTATCGAATTATTATGCTGGATAAGTTTACAAAAGTCGCTTACAACCCATACAGGTTAGTACATCCACAAAAAAACTTGCGCTGTTTGATTTCATGTAAGGTAAAGCCGGTTTTTCATTAGGCGGAATTTTGCGCGCGGAGCGGAATTCTTCTTTGTCTTTTGATTTCTTGGGTGGAACTATATAATTAGAAAAGACAAAGAAAAATTCCGCTCCGCGCGCAAAATTCCGCCTAGTGGAAAACCGGCTTAAAAGCTATAAAAGCTATTACATTCAAATACATTTTATTGTATTCAGGAAAGGCTGACTTAGATTTTGATATACAGCTCTAAAAATGTCATTTAATATTACGTGAGATACAAATTTTGAATTTGGCGCACGCTTGAAAAATGAGTAAAAAATCAAGAAACATGCATGGCTGATTAAATTTATATGAAAACAATTGCTATTTTCCACAAAAATTAACAATTTCAATTTTAGCATTTCAACTCAACTTTAATTTCGGGTAATGTCCTAGTATAATTTAGGCTTTCGTGTTTCTTGGGAAGCGAAATAAGCATGAAACATTTAAAAATGTTCGAAAGCATATTTGAGGTCCTTTGTATTATAAAGTTCGTCTAACATTTAAAAATGTTCGAAAGCATATTTGAGGTCCTTTGTATTATAAAGTTGGTCTGCGATCGCCTTTCGAATATGCCTCGATTAACAAAAGATCAAAGAGTTTGGGTTTTATGGTTTCCCATGCAAGACATTGTATACGTGAACAAGGACATACTTTCTAAGACGAATTAATGTTTTATAAAATAACATGTATATAACGCGTGGTCTGATTGGTCGAAACCCGTGTTTGGATCAGGCCATCCAAACACGGAAATTTAAAGTGAAAGTTTTTTAAAGTGAAATTTTAACACGGAAAGTTGTTATTTTATAAAACAATTACTTTATGGTTTCCGTGTTTGGATGGCCTGATCCAAACACTTGGGAATGTTGCTCGAGTTAAGAAAAGCGCGCAAAATCACTCGCCTTCGGCTCGTGTTTCGCGCGCTTTTCTTAACTCTCGCAACATTCCCGCGTGTTTGGATCAGGCCATCCAAACACGGAAACCATAAAGTAATTGTATAATCCAACGTTTTTCATTCGTTCTTTTGGCCACAATAAAACTATTAATATATCAAGTTTTAACCAAAAAAATAATGACATGATGAAAAAAATTGACAGGCAATTTCATGCAAATTTTTAACATTGTCAAATATGCTTATTCGATTTAAAACATCGATAGCTCAGTAAATGTTGCAAGGACATTCAAATGTTATATATCAAAATCTAAGTTAGCCCTTTCTGAATACAATGAAACTTATTTGAGTGCAATAGCTTTTATAGTTTTTACGTTACATTAAATCAAACAGCGCAAGTTTTTTTTGGGACACCCGGTAGTAAACTAGTTTATACTAGCATAAATACTAGTTTCCAAATATTCTATAAAATCTTGTTGAATTTTACGACAGCCACTTGGAAGTTGAAAGTATAGAGGGCTAAACTCTAGAATAGTCCTCTTGATACTAAAATTCCAGAATCAATTTACTCTTTTGAAAAGATTTTTTGAAACAGGATGTTGATCGGGCATCTGCACTGTAACGTCAATTGTAACTTTTTGTAATGGATGGTAAAAAACTTGCTCTTTCTCTTCTTCACCGAGTTAAAATTGTTTGACACTCTTCGTGGAACTGGTGACGAGGCAAGGGTGATTAAACTAGAAAATACATGCATGCAGAAACCCTCGCCTCCTGACAAAACCATTGTATTTTCCGAACATGAAGTATTTAAAGTACTTGTCATGGTAACACGATAATTTTTTAAGAATATTTTTACAAATGAAAAATCCCCTAAAAATATCACTTTAATTACAAAATTACCAATTTCCCAAACATATCGATAAACTTTGATATAAAATGATTTCAAATGCTCGCATGCAAATAACTTTGCTTTCTTTTCTATTTAAAAAATTTAATATAATAAAAAGGGTAGTCAATAAAGTATACACTGAAATTATATCATGCTGTCTTGTTTCGTTATACGCAACGTTTATACGATCGGCTTTTAAAGCAATTATAAAGCAAACAATACATTGATATTTAAAACAAACTTACCTTCGTTAACGTCGGCGCCTTTGCTCCCTTCTTTAGCCGATTCTTTCGCCCTTTTTTCTTAAAAAGCTTTTGAAATTTACAAAATCTTGCAAAAATGAAATATATTTGCAAGAAATCATCAAATCAAGAAAGGTTTGCTATTTCGCTGTCGCAGACCTGCCAACTCTCATGATTCCACCGTGTGTCACACGATTTTTGTACATTTCTCACAGTCTCACGACATGACTCAGTTTTCTCACGATTTTAATTCTTTATTTCATTTCTTGCAATTTACTTTGTTACCTCTACTTTAGTTTGATACTAAGATTTTATTCAGACAGAAATTACTTGTTTATAATTCTTAAATTCCAGGATTTTTCATTTTCATTAGTTGAAGTAAAGTTAAGTCAGAAATTCCGAAAAAATACGTTAGTTTCGGGCGAGAAGGTGCAGTTAGTTTTTGATAATTTTTTGCAGGCTAATGCATAAATTACATAAATTATGCATCACATCCCTTTATTTAAATACAACATAGCGTCAATGAAGTTCTTATTCAACAGTTTTTCCTACTGTATTCATAAACGTGTTGTAAATGTTAAATACAGTCAAATTAATTCATTCTTACTACTTTTTGTGAAATCTCCAGATTTTTTGTCACTAGAGAAGAAAATGTCGGGAGTTTTTACTCGCTCAGGTTGGCAGGTCTGCATGCTGTCGTCATGCAGTCGTTATAATGCAAATTTTAAATTTGACCAATCAGTGTTCGCTATTCATGACAGTCGGCCATATTTTTGAGATCAGTGAGGATGACCACTCATCGTTGGTCACCCACGGCCCGCGATCATTGATGAACTTTAAACTTCGCTAATGCTTTCGTTTCTCCGCGTGTAAATAGCAGGCGGGAATTAGTACCCTCGCCCCGGGCTTACGCCCGGAACGGCGCTCCGCACCGTTTGCTCGGGGATAAAGTTTTACATTGATTCAGTAATTACTAAGGAGGAAGGGAAGGCAGGGCGACTTTGCAAAGTGTCGTCACTGTTTGTGACAAGTTTCTTTGTTTTTTTTTTATAGACTACTAGCCCATTTTCTATTTGTGTCTTCTATTGGCTGTGGAGCTTACCTAGTTGCTCGTAAATTCAAGAAAGTCAACTCGACAACATCGTACAGTGTGTTCCGCATTTTTTTCATTCTTTCGTTCGTTTTCCTAAGTTCCTGCTTATTTGCCTATATCTACACGTTTATTATCATCAAGTATTTTAGAAAAACTGAAGGCAAAATAAAGAAAGCCATAATCGCCGCAGTCACACCCGGAATGGTTTTCCCAGTGACTGCATTTGTAAAATACCTTATTCTCAGAAAGAGTTCGGAGATTATTACACCAGATCGAGCTTTTGTGTTGTGTTATTTCCTACGCGGGGGTGCAATTGTACTATACCGAAGTACCGAACTATGCAGTCTGGTTTTCAAGATATCCGGCTTTTCGTTGGTTTATCACTGTTACATGGTATCTCAAACGTTCTAAGTAAGGCAACTCTTAACGTTCGTATAAAACTTTGGAGGTTTTTCATAAAATATTTTAACAGAATATGCTGTGGACCAAGATTGGAAGTACAACCTTTAAATTCGCCACGTATTCGTCGATTCAACGCAGATCTTGAAATTCAGAATATCTTGTTCGAGTACACCACGGTCATCTTAAGTCAGGCGTATTTAGCATGTTATCTTGTAATGAGCTACGATGTTCCGTCCTGGCAAGTGATAAAAGATTCCTTAATCCGGGTAGCGATAAGTTTGGCCATAGATTTTGCATTCAATATTATGTCTGTGTTCATTCAGATTCACTTTTATGACATTCCGACGCAAAAGATTTGGATAAAATACTGGAGACGACATGTCATTGCTAACGCTGTCATGATCATCATTTTTGTAGCATATTTTGGTACAGTGCTCATCAGGGTGTTCGTAGATAACAATACTTTGAAAGAATACAAACTTAGAAATTGTACAACAATATTTTAAGCCCTATTTCCACGGGATCAAACTAGTACTGGATAGAGTATCGTGATTCAATGAACCAATTTTGAAGCCAAAAAAATTGAGAAGAGATTTTTAAATCTGTCAAATCCTTTACGAAT